CCCCCCCCCCAGCTCAGCACTGTAGAAGGGAGGGAGGGCTGCTCTAGTGCCCCTTGGCTTCTAGTGTGAGCCACTACAGACATGTGCCTGCATTTCTTCAGTCCAGAGGGGATGTCTGTACAGTTACAAACTGGTTCAGCCTATACAGGTTAGACTAACCTGCAAAGATTGAATCAATTCAGGCTCAGACTTTTTGAATGTCTGTTCCTACCCAATGAGCCAAACATAGCCATAGTAAAGAACAGCGGGGGTTGGCGGGGTGAGAGAAATTCCGACGGGTAGCAGACACAATTAGCAGAATTAAAAAGGTGATTACTGGGAGATCAAGGCTTATCAAAAGGGAGGAGGTTCATTATCACCTTTCATGTGTGGAAAGAATTACTGAGTCAGATAAAATATAATGTACCATAAAATCAATATCAATGTTTAATCCTTGGTTCTTAGTGCTTGGCTAGCTGAAGAATTTTTTATCTTAAGTTCTTTTTTTAGAGGTATTAGATTTCCTTTAAGTATGAGGATAGTAAGGTCAGAGAGGGAGTGGTTGTTCTGTGAGAAATGTGCTTCTAATGGTTTGTGTGTGCATCTCCGTCCTTTATATTTTTTCTGTGAGCGTTCATTCTTTTTCATAGCTGCTGTTTAGTTTCACCCATGTAGTTGCCATTAGGGCACTTAGTATTTTTGATCAGGTATATCACATTTTGGGAAAGGAATACATAAGAATCATGGATTCTAATGGTTTTGTTTTGGGGTGGGGGGTGTTGATAATGGTGGTGGAGATGTGCTGACAGGTTAAGCATTTCTTGCCAATGCAAGGCTGTATCCCACTTGATGTTTGTTGGGTAGTGGAGAGTTTGCTTCTGCTGTTGAGTTGGGCAAGGTTAGAATGTTGTTTGAAGGCCAGGAGTGGAGAGACTGGGGATGTTTCTCTCAGGGTCTGATCTCTGTCAAGTATAGGGTGTAGCTGTCTCTGTGATTCTTCTGATCAGTTCTAGTGTCAGGTGGTAGGTCTAGTGTCAGGTGGTAGGTGACCACCAAGGGTGTGTTAGTCATCAGTTCAAAATGGATTAACAATAGATGTCCTAAGTACAAATTGGTTCATAAGCATAATAAAGGAAATGCACTAGGGAATTTCCTATATAAAACTGTAGAGAAAAATCTATATTTTTAATAAAGTACTCAGGTATGCTAATTGCTTATCAGATTGATAGGATTTAGGAAGACAGATTGTTGCCTCAAAAAAGATTATTGTCTGAGGTCCTGATCTTGATTAGACACACTCTTAACTGTATACACTGTAAGCAGTATCATGGGAACTCCACTGGAAATACAGTTAAATATATACAAAAATATTTTCAGAATCAGGACTTAAGCAGGCAACATGCGGACTAAAGAGAGGCATTAAATGTGTTTGTTTTTGATTTTTAATTAAATAATCTTTGCCCATTTGATCTCTTATGGAACAAAATGTAGTGCAAGATGGCGAAAAATGTCTGTACCAGCAGGATAATAGATGACAACAGGATAACAGCTTATGGCTATCCTTTTTTACTTTCACCATGTCTATGTGGGTGGCTTCCATGACTTACTCTAGTGTATTTTGCAATGTATTCTGGACCAGATTCCCATCAAGTAGCAAACTGAAGCTATGCAACTTTACACAAGGCAAAAATCTCACCCTCTAGGTGAGATGCATTAGTATTCAGTGCAGTTTCTAGCAGCTGCTTAATCTTGAAGACACTTGGGGCTGAACTATGCTCCCATAAAAAGCAATAGAAAGATGTCTCTTAGCTTTAAGAACTTGGATCAGGCCCCTAAACACTGGTCAGCACTTAATTGTATTTCTTGATGGAAAATCAAGTAGCATTAAATGACTCACTTTGCTTTATAATTTGCATACCACAGATTTCTTTCTGAATAGAAAATCTGCTGCCCCCCACTTTTTGTTATAAATAGGCAATTTTAAAAAAGGAAATCTGCATGAATATAAATATGAAGTTAATTTAAAAGTAAAACCTGAAATTTTTAAAAACATTTTTATGACTCTTAAAATGCCTTGAACTCCACTGAGCTCCCTGTACTAAATTAAAACATCTTGAAAAAGTCTAAATCTAAAGAAAAGAAACCCAAATCTACATCTAAAGAAAAGAAACCCAAAAAGCCTCCAGTGAAGTAAAAAATACACTAATGTATATAATATATATTCACATGCATACATATCTAGCTTCAGTTTTCTAGTCAGGATAAATGAGACTGTTAGTAATTTGATTTGTTTTGTTACAGACAACTTAACATTTTTAGCATTCAGTTCATAAGCTGTGTTACTGTAAGACTGGTCCAATAAATAGCACAGCTTGCTTCTTTAGGGCTTGTTTGTTGCAGGTTTTATTGTTCCTTATTTTGACCACCATGCGTATAAGTGAAAAACATTAAGAAGTAAGTTGAGCGGAAAAACAAAAGTTAAAAAAGTGAAAAGGCATCAGATATCTTTGCGAGATCTGATTCATCGAATCAAAACTCAGAGGGAACCAGATGCAGCTGAGCCAGATCCGGAGGGGAAGCGCACTGGATCCCTCTTAGCTGAGCCAGTAGGGAGCTGCACTCCCGAGCCGCACCGCACCTCACGAACAGAGCGTGTAAATGGGGTGGGCTAGGGGGGACTGTCCCCCCAAGCTAGGGAGCACCCCTCAGGTTAACCCTCGGGGAGCAGGTTCAGGAGGCACCAGATCCCCCCAGCGGGGGAGTGTAGGGGGTGGGACTGCCAGCAGGCACTTCTGGGAAGACCGGAGTGCCTGATTGGCTGTTGGGGCAGCGGCAGGAAATTCAAATCACGGCCTTTAAAAGCCGCAGTTTGATGTAGCTCCCAGCACTCAGGAGCCAGGAGCAGGGAGGAGAGGAGGGATCCAGGCACACGTGTGTCCCGCACACACGTGTGCCCCCTTGCCTGACCCAAGGCGGACGCAGCAGCAGCGGGGCCAGCAGCAGCTGATCCCCCTAAGGTAAGTGGGCAGAGGGACTGGATGCTGCTGAGCTGGAACCAAGGGGAAGCCCCCCGGATTCCTCTTAGCTGAGCCGGTAGGGAGCTGCGCTCCCGAGCCACGCTGCACAAACAGAGCGCACTGGTGTTTGCATTGGCATT